TCACACACTCACACACACACACACACTCACACACATACTCACACACACACACACACACACAGTGTCTCTGAAGTCACCAGAAGGTGTGTTTGCTGAACTTTGCTCTGCTGTAAATCACAGTATTTCTGAATCATCTGAAGGATTGTCAGTTCACTCACAGTTCTCTTTTGAATAATTTGTAATATTGTAAATCTCATAGTTTTACAAGCGCTTCATTGTCTAGAGATGATTCTTGTTGGAGGTCAAAGAGTTGCAAAAGAAGCAGATTTGAATCAGATTTGTATCTTGTACAATAAATATTTATACTTGGACATTGAACTTTACACTCAAATCCAGACGACTTCATAACCTGAAAAACACAGCTTTATTTCATTAATCATAACAGAAATAATCACATAAGAGCACATGATGGTTGATGACAAGCTAGTAATAAATAAAACCCCAAAATGTAAAATTACTGTAAAAAATAAATACAATCTAAATAAAAGACTTATTACTGTAAAAATATTATAGATTTTGTTTGACAAACCAAAGTTTAAAATAAAACAATCACAATTAAACAATTTATACAAAATAAATAATGTATTTTTAATTAATTAATTAAATAACTCAAAATAAAACACTTGGTAAAAATATATTTATATTAAGGTATTTTATTTGTTTTACATGCATGTCATGTGATGTGAACATTAACATCAGAAACAATGAACATGTGAATGTGTTGTTAAAATGCTGAAATATGAATTACAATCTCAGGGGGAACTTCAAGAGAATATTTCAGATCAGATTTGGTTCAAAACTTTGGGAATGCCTGATTAAATCAGCATGATTTCAGAAACATTCATGTGTTTTTGATTGTCTCACGAGCGTCTGAATTTCTGACACACTGTTTAGCGTGCGTTCAGCTGAAGACTGCGATCTGAAGCTGTCGTGTTTGTATAATGCAGTCATTATGAGCTCTCGCAGCTGCGGAAACAGACGCTGTAGCTCTGAGACGAATGGCTTTTATTACATCTAATGTTGTGCCAGATCTCAGTCGCTAAATCTGACTGGGTCGCAGAAAACATGGGACATTCAGGGCGGCTCATTGTAGCGAACACAGTCACAGGAAAAGCCTGGAACCTGACCAGACTTCCTGAGGACCAGGAAAACTGTCCAAGAACCTGCTGTACGAGAGAAACAGACACATTACAGCCGTGACTGACAGCGCAGGTCTGAGGTCAGCTGTGCCAGCGCCGGGCGGTTTGGGTGGTGCGGATGGGAGGCACAAACACACACACACACACACGAATCTCTGGAGCAAGCATGACCAACTGCTGCAAGCATGAAAACACGCATGTGATCTGGAGAAATCTGCATGTAACGGAGCTGCATCACTGGAATATCTGAGAAACCTGCAGCGTGTTCAAACACATCAACGACAGACACAGCAAAACACGTGATCACGTGAGGAATGTGTGAAATGACTGAAGTTTGAGAGTTCAGATCTCAGACATTCTTCTGGAAACATCAACAGTAAATAGTAAACATGGAAATCAAAGCAAGCATTTGTTGGTTTAGTTAGTTCAACCCTGTAACCATCATGCATATCGTCTCCTTTTATACAGTTATTCAGTCAAGAGCAGTGCGTGATTTTCTCTTGATCTAATGCAGGGCTGTCAAACTCAATTCCTGGATGGAGATCAAATCAAAGCTAAAATGGTGCAGTGCTGTGTGACGTGTGATTGACACACTGACCTCTGACCTGCTGCTGCTCACTAACACGAGTGTGTGTCCAGTCAAACACACTGTGAGCAGAACACTGGAGCAGAATGAGAGGGTTGTGTGCTGATGTCAGTGTGTGTGGCTCTAAAGTTATAAATAATGGTCAATCTAATCGTAGCCTTTGAGCTGCTTTTCCTGAGCAAATCTACTCAACCCTACAATGAGACTCCATTGATGTGCTTGAGCTGTTAGATTGACATTTATGTTCTTAGCAGATGTTTTATCATCCAAACTATTTCCTAGAAAGTTCACATAGAGTGTAAGTGTGAAATACTAGAATCTGTAGCTCTAATGTGATTGAATGAATATGAGAAGAATGAAGCTGACGCTGTGAAAGTGCTGGATTGAGGAGAGTTACTAAAGATCAGTGAAGTTAAATCTGATGTTGCTGCAGGTTATTGGGTGAAGTGTGGAGCTGATGAGTTTGATTTCTGTTTTCTGTAGAGTTTCCAGTCTCTCTCAGCTCCTCCTGAATCTACAGACGTAAATGATGATCTCTTCAGTTCTCTCGTCTCTTCTGATGCTCTGAGAGAATCTGTTCATCAGCCATGATGAATCAGGAACAGAGATGTTGTAGAGTCTCTTCTTTTCTCTTCATGACATTAATACTGCAGCTGAACTTCTGTCAGTGAAATAACATGTCAGAATATATGCGTGTAATAAATCCTTATATAGACAGTAAGATCAGTGTGTGTGAGAGTCCTGAGTGACCATGTGTTTCTGTGCTTTTCTCTGTTCGAGTGCTGCTGTTTAGTGTGCCATTAAAAAAATGAACTAATGGT